ATTTCAGAACTTGACATTAGTCTATTCAGAGATTCGACTTCTTCCTAGTTTAGTCTTGGGAGGTTTTATGTGTCCAGGAATTTATCCATTTCTTCTAAATTTTTTAGTTTATTTGTGTAGAGGTGTTTGTAGTATTCTCTGATAGTAGTTTGTATTTCTGTGGGAGCAGTGGTGATATCCCCTTTATCACTTTTTATTGTGTCTATTTGATTCTTCTCTCTTTTCTTCTTTATTAGTCTGGCTGGCGATCTATCTATTTTGTTGATGTTTTCAGAAAAACAGCTTCTGGATTCATTGATTTTTTTGAAGGGTTTTTCATGTCTCTATCTCCTTCAGTTCTGCTCTGGTCTTAGTTATTTCTTGCCTTCTGCTAGCTTTTGAATTTTTTTGCTCTTGGTTCTCTCGTTCTTTTAATTGTGATATTAGGGTGTCGATTTTAGATCTTTCCTGCTTTCTCTTCTGGGCATTTAGTGCTATAAATTTCCCTCTACACACTGCTTTAAATGTGTCCCAGAGATTCTGGTATGTTGTATCTTTGTTCTCATTGGTTTCAAAGAACATATTTATTTCTGCCTTCATTTCATTATGTACCCAGTAGTCATTCAGGAGCAGGTTGTTTAGTTTCCATGTAGTTGAGCGATTTTGAGTGAGTTTCTTAATCTTGAGTTCTAATTTGATTGTACTGTACCCTGAGAGACTGTTTGTTATGATTTCCATTCTTTTGCATTTGCTGAGGAGTGTTTTACCTCCAATTATGTGGTCGATTTTAGAATAAGTGATATGTCGTGCTGAGAAGAATGTATATTCTGTTCATTTGGGGTGGAGAGTTTTGTAGGTGTCTATTAAGTCTGCTTGGTCCAGAGCCGAGTTTAAGTTCTGAATATCCTTGTTAATTTTCTGTCTCGTTGATCTGTCTAATATTGACAGTGGGGTGTTAAAGTCTCCCACTATTATTGTGTGTCTCTTTGTAGGTCTCTAAGAACTTTCTCTATGAATCTGGGTGCCCCTGTATTGGGTGCATATATATTTAGGATAGTTACTCTTCTTGTTGAATTGATTCCTTTACCAATATGTAATGTCCTTCTTTGTCTCTTTTGATCTTTGTTCATTTAAAGTCTGTTTTATCAGAGACTAGGATGCAACCCCTGCTTTTTTTTGCTTTCCATTTGCTTGGTAAATATTCCTCCAGCCCTTTATTTTGAGCCTACGTGTGTCTTTGCACATGAGATGGGTCTCCTGAATACAGCACACTGATGGGTCTTGACTCTTTATCCAATTTGCCAGTTTGTGTCTTTTAAGGGGAGCATTTAGCCCATTTACATTTAAGATTAATATTGTTAAGTGTGAATTTGATGCTGTCATTATGATGCTAGCTGATTCTTTTGCCTGTTAGTTGATGCAGTTTCTTCATAATGTCGATGGTCTTTATAATTTGATATGTTTTTGGAGTGGCTGGTACCAGTTGTTCCTTTCCATGTTTAGTGCTTCCTTCAGGAGCTCTTGTAAGGCAGCCCTGGTGGTGACAAAGTCTCTCAGCATTTGCTTGTCTGTAAAGGATTTTATTTCTCCTTCACTTATGAAGCTTAGTTTGGCTGGATATGAAATTCTGGGTTGAAAATTCTTTAAGAATGTTGAATATTGGCCCCCACTCTCTTCTGGCTTATAGGGTTTCTGCAGAGAGATCTGCTATTATTCTGATGGGCTTCCCTTTGTGGGTAACCTGACCTTTCTCTCTGGCTGTCCTTAACATTTTGTCCTTCATTTCAACCTTGGTGAATCTGACGATTATGTGTCTTAAGGTTGCTCTTCTCAAGGAGTACCTTTGTGGTATTCTCTGTATTTCCTGAATTGGAATGTTGGGCTGTCTTGCTAGATTGGGGAAGTTCTCTTGGATAATATCCTGAAGAGTGTTTTCCAACCTGGTTCTATTCTCTCTATCACTTTCAGGTACACCAATCCAACGTAGATTTGGTCTTTTCACGTAGTCTCATATTTCTTGGAGGCTTTGTTTGTTTATTTTCATTCTTTTTTCTCTTATCTTGTCTTCTAGTTTTATTTCATTAAGTGGATCTTCAATCTCTGATATCCTTTCTTCTGCTTGATTGATTCAGCTATTGATAGTTGTATATGCTTCACGAAGTTCTCATGCTGTGTTTTTCAGCTCCTTCAGGTCATGAACTGGTTATTCTAGTTAGCAATTCCTCTAACCTTTTTTCAAGGTTCTTAGCTTCCTTGCCTTGGGTTAGAACATGCTCCTTTAGCTCGGAGGAGTTTGTTATTACCCACCTTCTGAAGCCTTCTTCTGTCAGTTCATTGAACTCATTCTCCATCCAGTTTTTTCCCTTCCTGGCAAGAAGTTGTGATCCTTTTGTGGAGAAGAGGCATTTTCGGCCTTTTTGCACTGTTTTCTCCCCATCTTCATGGGTTTATCTACCTTTGGTCTTTGATGCTGGTGACCTTCAGATGAGGTATCTGAGTGGACGTCCTTTTTGTTGATGTTGATGCTATTCCTTTCTGTTTGTTAATTTTCCTTCTGACAGTCAGGCCCCTCTGCTGCAGGTCTGCTGGAGTTTGCTGGAGGTCCACTCCAGACCCTGTTTGCCTGGGTATTCCCAGCAGAGGCTGCAGAACAGCAAAGATTCCTTCCTGTTCCTTCCTCTGGAAGCTTTGTCCCATAGGGGCACCTGCCAGATGCCAGTTAGAGCTCTCCTGTATGAGGTGTCTGTTGGCCCCGACTGGGAGGTGTCTCCCAGTCAGGATACGTGGTGGTCTGGGACACACTTGAGGAGGCATTGTGTGCCTTATCAGAACTCAAACGCTGTGCTGGGAGATCTGCGGCTCTCTTCAGAGCCATCAGGCAGGGACGTTTAAGTCTGCTGAAGCTGTGCCCACAGCTGCCGCTTCTCCCAGGTGCTCTGTCCCAGGGCGATGGGAGTTTTATCTTTAAGTCCCTGGCTGGGGATGCTGCCTTTTTTTCAGAGATGTCCTGCCCAGAGAGGAGGAATCTAGAGAGACAGTCTGGCCGGAGCAGCCTTGCTGAGCTGTGGTGGGCTCTGCTTACTTTGAACTTCCCGGTGGCTTTGTTTACACTGTAAGGGTAAAACTGCCTACTCAAGCCTCAGCAATAGTGGACGCCCCTCCCCTCACCAAGCTCGAGCGTCCCAGTTTGACCTCAGACTGCTGTGCTGGCAGCGAGAATTTCAAGCCAGTGGATCTTGGCTTGCTGGGCTCCATGAGCGTGGGACCTGCCAAGCCAGACTACTCGGCTCCCTGGCTTCAGCCCCCTTTCCAGGGGAATGAATGGTTTTGTCTTGCTGGTGTTCCAGGTACCACTGGGGTATGAAAAAAACACTCCTGCAGCTAGCTCGGTGTCTCCCCAAATGGCCGCCCAGTTTTGTGCTTGAAACCCAGGGCCCTGATGGTGTAGACACCGGAGGGAATCTCCTGGTCTGCGGGTTGCAAAGACCATGTGAAAAGCTCAGTATCTGGGCTGGAGTGCACCGTTCCTCACAGCACAGTCCTTCACGGCTTCCCTTGGCTAGGGGAGGGAAATCCCCCAACCCCTTGCACTTCCCTGGTAAGGTGATGCCCCACCCTGCTTCGGCTCACCCTACATGGGCTGCACCCACTGTCCAACCAATCTCAATGAGATGAACCGGGTACCTCAGTTGGAAATGCAGAAGTCACCCCCTTCTGCATCGATCTCGCTGATAGCTGCAGACTGGAACTGCTCCTATTCGGCCATCTTGCCAGCAAATCCCACGGTACCTGATTTGCACACAACATTCAATAAAGAGTAGTCATTGTTATTAGTATGGCCACACTGAGAAACATTAAACTTCATTTAATTAATGACAGGGATTTTTATTGTTAATGAATTGTCGATAATTCCTTGGTAATCTTTTGGACTTTATCTGTTTACATCCCAGCATCCCAAAGAAAGATTGGTCTCCTTGAAGTCAGCAGTTTTGTCTTATTAATCACTATGTCCTTTGACCCGGCTTAATGCCAGGACTACTCAGTAAAATGCCAGTTAACTCAGTAAGCATTAGTGAAATGTATAAGTTAGAAAAATAAAAGATGTTTTTAGGAAGTTTGAATATGAAGAAAAGAAAAACATCTTGAGATATAATAAGTTTGAGAGAAAGATTTTGGAAAGAAGAAGCCTTGAGCATTGTCATAGACTGATGGAGAATTGGGGAAGAGGCAAAGATTTAAGGCAGAAAAGAGGACAGAGTTGATGAAGCAGAGCCAACAAGGGAGGGGACAGGGTCACTGGAGGATGGGACCAATGGCACAGGTAAAGAATGAGATTAGGTCTCAAGAGATTCCCTCTTTCCCTGAAAAGAAGAGCAAAGAGAAAGGTGCAAATGCAGTTTAACTTTGAAGTTAAGGAAGAAAAATCCAGGGGACTTCTATTGGATAACCTCTTACCTTCTGCTAAGGGGAAGGGATTAGAGCTGACTGAAGGGCCTGAACACAAAAGTTTTGGAACAACGTCAGGTTACATGATCGAAGTGAGTAGACCACCTAGCATCAATGAGGGCCCATACAAACCAACTGAAGCTGATCAGTTTGCCTGCTTGCATTTTTGTATATTTGTCCATTTATGCATTAACTAACTTTTAAAAATAAATTATCAGCTGTATAGATTTGCTGGTGTATTTGTCTTAACTTCTCTTGGGAAAACAGCTGCTGTATAGTCAGTATGTGTTGTGGATTTGGAGTCATGTCGCACACTATCTCTGTAGAGGTTCTTTTCTGTTTAAATATTGGTGGTCCGCTAACACCATAAGTGTGGTTTACAGTAATCGGCCTTTGTTTTTAAGCGCTGTCTTTTTCCATTATCATTAACCTGAATTTCCCATGCATGAACATTATCAGCATGATAAGGTGGAACTGCTTTATGGCATGCATTTAAGTAATCTTTAAGTCTGATCTGAAATAAAATGTGCTAGAACTACTGAGTTTTTTTTGTTTGTTTGTTTGTTTTTCCCTAGAGTTGGACAAGTTATAACCATCAGAGCAAAAGTTACTAGAGCATTCAGCACAAGCATGGAGGTAAGAGGCACCTTTTCAAACGGCTGCCTGTTGGTGCTCATTTCTTCATTGTTTACAAAGGGTAGAGCAGGAGGCCTAGACTAATATTTGGAGTTAATGAGATTCTCTATTTCACAAGGCTCTGGAATGTGTAGTCAGGTCACAGGTAAATAATAGGCAGCGGATGTTTCCAGTGTTTCCTAGCTAAAATTCAACATGGCCAGGCATGGTGGCTCACACCTATAATCCCAGCAATTTGGGAGGCTGAGGCAGGAGGATCACTTGAGGCCAGGAATTCAAGACCAGCCTGGGCAACATAGCAAGACCCAATCTTTAAGAAGAAAAAAAAAAATTAGGCAGCACAGTGGCAAGTGCCTGTAGCCCTGGCTACTCGGGAGGCGGAGGTGGGAGGATTGCTTGAGCCCAGGAGTTTGAGGCTACGGTGAGCTATGATTGTACCACTGCATTCCAGCCTGGGTGATATAGCAAGACTTTGTCTCTTAAAAAAAAAAAAAAAAAAAAAAACTCACATATCAACATGATACAATACAGTATTTCTACGTAGAAGGATATACAGAAAATAAACCTGCAAGAGAAAAAGACACTCTTAATTCTTCATAAAGTATAGATTTTATTTCTTAATCATGCTGACTCCACTATTATTCTATTTGTTCTCCATCCCCTCACCCTCTGACAGAAACTAGTCCCATGATTAAGTAGTTTTTGAAAAGCAGGATAACTGGACTTTAGTAAGAAGGTAAATTTAGAAGATTTTTTTTCTGCAACCACTTGGTTTTCTTTTCTCTACCATTGTGAATACCGGATTCTCGGGGGCTCTTGAGATCTCTATTCAGGTTAAATTAGGAGGAAAGGCATTGCTGGATCTCATATTGCACCTTCCAGCTTGCTCAGGAGCCATCCTTCGATCTCTGGGCATGAAGACATGGAAGAGCTTGTATTCGTTTGCTAGGGCTGCCGTAACAAAGCACCACAGACCAGGTGGCCTAAACACAGAAGAGTATTGTCCCATGGTTCTGGGAGCTAGAAGTCCTACATCAAGATATGGGCAGGGCTGGTTTCTCTGAGGGCTGGAGGGATAATCTGTTCATGCCGCTTTCCTATTCTCCCATGGCTCTCTGTAGTCTTTGGTATTTCCTGGCTTCTGCTGCATCACCCGATCTCTGCCTTCATCTTCACATGTGTTCTCCTTGTGTGGGTGTCTGCTTCCAAATTTCCCGTTTTTATAAAGATATCAGTCATATTGGATTAGGGGCCTGCCCCACCGCAGTCTGGCCTCATCTCAACTAACTACATCTGCAACAGCACTATTTCCACGTTTACATTCAAAGGTATTGGGGGTTAGGACTTAAGAATTTGGAAGGGGGAACACAGTTCAACTGTAACAACTGTTTTGATAGTAACCATGCCCTTGGTGATGGCTTTACCCTGATGTGGTCACCTCTTTTTTTAATTTTTGTTTTTGTTTTTGTTTTTGAGATAGAGTCTCACTCTGTTGCCAGGCTGGAGTGCAATGGCAAGATCTCGGCTCACGGCAAGATCTCGGCTCACTGCAACCTCCGCCTCCCGGGTTCAAGCAATTCTCCTGCCTCCGCCTCCCGGGTTCAAGCAATTCTCCTGCCTCAGCCTCCCAAGTAGGTGGGATTACAGGCGCCCGCCACCACTAATTTTTGTATTTTTAGTAGAGACGGGGTTTCACCATGTTGGCCAGGAGGGTCTCGATCTGACCTTGTGATCTGCCCGCCTCGGCCTCCCAAAGTGCTAGGATCGATCACAGGCATGAGCCACTGCGCCCGGCTGATATGGTCACTTTCTAGCAGTATCCAAATAAACAGAATACAAAGCACTTGAAGAAAGCAGAAAGGAAATGCTTGTGAAAGAAACAAGCTCTGTCAGTGAATGGTGTTTCTGGACGCTGTTTATTCAACTGCAGAGCTCTTAGCCTTTGCACACAGGAGCCTCTGGGCTTGGCCTGTCTCCTGAGGGCCACACATTCTCCTGATAGACAGTCCAAATATAGATAAAAGCTCCTTTTCATTTCTCCTTTTCCTCCTCTTCCTGAGACAGGCTAGAATTTCTAAAGGAGGCTTATCTAAAAGCTAAGAAAAGAAAAATAAAACCCAGTGAGTTTGAAACCACAGATTTCTGATGCTAGGGAAAGTAAACCCTAGCCTCCACTGACTTTCTAGGCCCGATCTGCCATGCAGAATTTTGTTCTCTTTCATCCTCTGCAGATCATGACCAGGGAGCCTCTAGATTTTGTCGTACTTTCTACCACCTGGTAGAAATTTCTTGGATTTTTTTTTTCCCTAACTCTAGATGCCAACTAAACATTTTTATTTTTACTTTTTCAAACTGGAAATGTCCTTTATGGTCATCCTGTTTAATTTCAGTTTCCTGCCACAACTGAGGCCAGCCCTCTGCTAATTTGTTGAGCAGAAATAAATGACTGGCTTCCCCCTGAATCCACAGCAAGCAGGAGCTCTGCTCTGTGCCAAACCCACTTCCAGGGGATTCTCAGACTCTATTGATCAGTCTCTTCCCTTTTCCGCGCTCTGGAAGGTGTGCGATGCATTACTATTAATAGATTATATTGTCCCATTTGCACTAAGAGCACATTATATGAAGGGTTTTTTTTTGGTCCTTAGAACATGTCTTTAAAAATCAGTTTTATTGAGATATAATTTACAACATTAAAATTCTCCCATTTTAATTATACATTTTGCTGAGCTTTGACAAAGTCATACAGTTGGATCACCACCACTATAACATACAACGTTCCCATCACTACACGAAGCCCCCTATGCCCCTTTGCAATCAGCTCCCTCAGGTCCCAGCTTGTGACAACCACTCATTTACTTTAGGTCGGTATCCTTTTTTTTGCCCTTTACTATATTTTGTATAAATGGAATGATATAGTATATATAATCATTTGTGTCTAGTGTATTTTACTTAGCATAATGTATTTGATTTCTGCTACTGGTTATTATATTATTCTCATTCTATTAATTTTGGGTTTAGTTTGCCTTTCTTTTTCTAGTGTCTTAAGGTAGAATCTTGGGAAATTGATTGAACTTTTCTTTTTTTCAAATATAAGCATTTAAAATCATAAAATTTTCCTCAATGTATTGCCTTACCTGCATCAAAATATGTCCTTTTTTTCTTGTAAATTCTTCCCTGACCTCTAGTCTGTCTAGATATGTGTTGTTTAATTTCCAAATCTCTGATGATTTTTCCAGACATATCTTTGTTTTTGATTTCTAATTTAATTCTTTTGCAGAGAGAGAACATAATTTTTATAATTTCAATTATTTTAAATTTGTTTAGACTTTTTTAATGAACCAAAATATGGACTATTATGGTGAATGTGCTATATGTACTTGAAAAGAATGTGTTGCTTATAGTCAATGAAGTATTCTGCAGATGTCAGTTAGCCTAAATTGTTTCATAGCATTGTTCAAGTCTTCTGTATTATTATTATTATTGTTATTATTATTATTATTTTGAGATGGAGTCTTGAACTGTCTCCCAGGCTGGAGTGCAGTGGTGCGATCGTGGCTCCCTGCAGCTTCCGTCTCCCGGGTTCAAGTGATTCTTTTGCCTCAGCCTCCCGAATAGCTGGGATTACAGGTGTACACCACCACACCCAGCTAATTTTTGTATTTTTAGTAGAGTCGGGGTTTCACCATGTTGGCCAGGCTGGTCTTGAACTCCTGACCTCAGGTGATCCATTCACCTCAGCCTCCCAAAGTGCTGGGATAACAGGTGTGAGCCACCGTGCCCTGCCAGGATTCTTAACTCTTCCTGATGTTGTGACCCTTTTATCATTATGAAGTGTACCTTTTTATCTCTGGTTTTTGTTTTGAAATCTACTCTGTCTGATATTAATTTAGCCGGACAAGCTTTCGTTGGATTAGTGTTTTTCCCCCATCATTTTTCTTTTAACCTGTCTTATTTGTATATGTAAGTGGGTTTCTTATAAACAAAATATATTTGGATGCTATTTTTTTATTTATTCTAACAATCTCTGCCTTCTACCTGGAATATTTAAACTGTTTACCTTAGATTATCTATATGGCAGAGTTGAAATCTATCATCTGGCTATTTGTCTTCTATTTCTTTCATCTGTTCTTTGTTTCTTCCTGTCCCCATCTTTTCCTGCATTTTTTAGAGTGGAGTAATTTTTAGTAATCCATTTTATCTCCACTGTTGGTGTTTTCACTATACATATTTGTTTTGGTTTTAGTGCTTTTTCTCAGGTTTGCAATATGAGTACTTAACTTATCTGAGACTACCTTCAAATAATATAATATCCCTTTGAGTATAGAGTAATACCCTTATAACAGTATACACACTTCCCTTCCCATGTCCCAGCCTTTGTGTTATTGTCATACCTTTTACATGCACATATGTAGGAGGTAAACCCTATAATACATAGTTATTATTTATGTTTTAAACAGTCAACCATCTTTTTAAAAGAATAAAAATGAAAAGAATGTATTTTTTATATATATACACACCCATATATTTGCCATTTCTGGTGTTCTTTATTCTTTTGTGTATTGTGTGTCTCCAGATTTCTCCCTAGTGTCATTTTCCTTCTGTCTGAAGATATTCCTTTAGCATTTTTTTTTCAGCTTTTGTGTAAAAATGTCTTTGTTTCATCTTCGTATTTAAAAGATGTTCATATTCAGTAGGTATAGAATTCTAGCCTGGCAGCAGAATTATGTAAATTATGATATGACTTGGGTTTTTTGAGCTGCTGGATCTATGGATTTATAGTTTCTAAGAAATGTGGATTTTTTTCAGCTATTTTATCTTCCAACTTTTTTCCTGTCTTTTGTGCTCTCTCTCCTTTTGGACTTTAGAGTTTTAGACTTCTTGTTAATGTTCCACAGGTCACTGATACTGTTCTTTTTTTTTTTCTTTCAGTCTTCCTTTCTCTTCATGCTACCTTCTGTGTAGCTTCTTTTGTCATCTTCAGCTTCACTGACTTTTTCCCCTGCATTAACTAAACTGCTCTTAATCTTACCTGGTTTTTTTTTTATTTCAGACATTATATATTTTTTTATCTTAGAAAGTCCCACTTTGTTTTTTATATTTTCCATTCTTTCCTTACTATTTTCATCTTTTTCTCTATGTTGGAAGTCAGCAAACTATGGCCTATAGACCTGTTTTATGAATAAAAATTTTTTGAAGCACAGCTATACCCATTCATTTATGTTTTGTCTGTGTTGCTATCACAGTACATTGGCAGAGTTGAGCAGTGGCAGTAGAGTCCATGGGACCACAAAACTTAAAATATTTCCTATCTGGTCTTATCCTTTAAGAAGATGTTGCTGACTCCTGTTCCAAATCTCTGAGTTCATGGTGCCTATATTTAATTGTTGTTTTAATATCTTTTGTTGTCATTCCATCATTTCTGTTATCTGTTGTTTTATTTATATTACCTTTCACCTAATAATTTTCTTGCATCTAATAATTTTTATTCGATGCAAGCATTGTGAATTTTATATTGTTTAGTGCCAGCTTTTGTTATATTTCTTTAAAAAGAGTGTCAGACTTTTCCTGGCAGGAAGATATTGTTACTTGCAGATTGGTTTGAGCTTTTAAAGATCTGTTTTAAACTCTTCTATGGAAGATTTAGAATACTCTACTCTACAGCTACTTTAGACCCTCTTCTAGGTTGGGATCTTCTGTTATCTCTGTGAAGGGGTTCTATATTCAGTGAAATCTGGCTGGAGAGAACTCAAAAGATCCCCAGCTGTGTGTGAGTTCTTGGAATTGTCCATGTTACAGTTTCCCAGGAATTGATTGTTCCTCAGAAGCTGTTCTTGTCTGGCCTTGTGGGGTTTCACCCTGTATATAGTCCAGTTAGTATCAACTCAAAGACTCACATTCATATTTCTGGAATTCTTTCTTTTTTTTAGCTTACTTCTCTGGTACTCCACCCCACAAATTTTAGCTCCATTCAATTTAGCAGAGTTAGGTTTTCCTTCCCTAACCTAACTGTAAATCACCTTTAGCCTGAGAACCTGGGAACGCAGTGCTCCTCTCATTGTTTTTCCTGCCTTGGGGATCACAGTCCTGTGTTGCCTATTTTTGTAGGTGTGAAAATAGATGCTTCCTATATTTTGTCCAGTTTTCTAGTTGTTTTCACAGAATGTAATTCCAATCTTACCTAATCTCTTATAACACAATGAAATTCTCCCTGGCATATGTTTTTGAAACATTTGGTTATCACATATAACTAAGTTAACTGTTCTAGTAGAAGATAGTGTTTAGAACTTATTTTAACACTCCAGAATTGTTGCTTTGTTTTTACTGTTAGATATTTTATTTTATTTTTCATTTGTCCATTTCTCTAAAAGCAGAAAGCTGTATGGGATTAAGGGTTGAGAGAGTTGGGAATAGATAGTTTAATTTTGGCTAATCACCATCTAGTTAATTTAGGATTTACCATGTAAATACTAATTTGCATTTATGAGTTGAGTGACTTAAAATGAGTCATAGATTATTGATTATTCTTTTTACATGGTGTACATGGTAAAGATAGAGATACAGATACAGATATTCTTCATTGTTGACAACACAGTGCTGAGCTGTGCCTGAGATCACTCATTATTTTCAGAAGATAATATTACTCATCTGAAACATTTGGGAAAAGGTTTATTAGCCAGAATCTAAAGACAAGTCCCGGAGTTTACCAACACTTCTGCAAAGTACAATCCTGAGGACCAAGCTTCAGAGCTCTTCACACGGGGAAATCTAGCCCATTGTAGTATCAACATAAAGTGTCTCAGCTACCTTCTTATTACTCCTGAAAAATTAATCACAGAAACAAAGCTGTAAATACATGATGCAATTCTGTCCATGTGGGCTTGGTCCTAGGAAACCCTGAGAGTATGCTGCCTAGAGACATTTTAAAAAAGAAAAAAAGCTCTGAGAGTAAAGGCTAAAAAAAGTTATGGTACATCTCTCTGGTGGTTTTATAAGGCAGTCACCAATATCTTGTTTTCAAAAGCATATTTAGTAATAATGAAGTTTAAAAGAGCTTATCATATAATGTCAAATTTTTAAAAATTGGAACAGGCCAGGTGCGATGACTCACCCCTGTAATCCCAGCACTTTGGGAGACCAAGGTGGGTGGATCATAAGGTCAAGAGGTTGAGACCATCCTGGCCAACATGGTGAAATCTTGTCTCTACTAAAAATACAAAAAATTAGCTGGGTGTAGTACCGCGTGCCTGTAGTCCCAGCTACGACAGAGGCTGAGGCAGGAGAATGGCTTGAACCCAGGAGGCAGAGCTTGCAGTGAGCCAAGATCGTGCCACTGCACTCCAGCCTGGTGACAGAGCGAGACTCTGTCTCAAAACAAAACAAAACAAAATCAGAACATAAAACTGTAAATACATTACAATAATTTTATATACACATGCATATATACACATACATATTTCGTGTCATATGTATATATTATGAAATGTGTGTATATATTATGTAATATGATATGTGTATTATGCGATATGTATATGTATTATATATCATAAATAATATACATTTATATATCGTATATATCATATACATTTATATATCATATATGATATGTCATATATGTTTATATATCATATATGTCATATACATTTATATGTCATATGTGATATGTCATATACATTTATATGTCATATGTGATATGTCATACATTTATATGTCATATATGATATATAAATATAAAAAGCTAGAAGAAAATTCAGCTAAAATTTAATAATTATTATCTCTGGGTGATGGAATTACTGATAATATATACTCTGGATAGTCAGATTCCACAAATTTTACATGATAAATAATTTTTATAATCAGAAAAAGTTAATTGTCCAATGTTATAGAACATCATTGAAAGAATTCTATTGCTTAAAAATGAATTAAAATTCTGGTTTCATTTTTAAAATGAAAGAGAGTAATGGTGCATACATATGACTACATTTTGAATGCTGAAATCTGAACTGTTTCTGGATGGCCAAGAGTGTATTTATTTATCTTTTTTTTCATTGTAGATCAGTATCAAGGTCATGGTACAGGACATGCTCACTGGCATTGAGAAGCTTGTTAGTGTGGCTTTCTCCACATTTGTAGCCAAACCAGTTGGAAAAGAAAAGGTAAATTTTATATATGAAGATGTATCTAGCATGTAATTCAGGGACATAGTAGCAATTGCATCAGAATGTTATAGAAAAAAATGACATTTCTTCTTTCCATGAGATATACTTTCCCAAGATTTGTTATTCACCAATATTTATTGTAAAAGTTATCATTCTGTGGTAACATCAGAGGAATAGGAACTTTAGAGAAAAGTACCTTAGAGAAAAGACAATATAGAAAGTTTGTAAAATACAAAAAAATAATCCACATTGTTTTAAATGATCTGAAGGTCCTATCAGTTTCTTTAAAATACTGCCTACTGGTTTAGTGCTTTTCATTTGTGGTCGTATAACTCAAAATTGAGTTAAAATAAAATCTTTTTTAAAAAAATCAAGAGCAATTTAGCAAGCAGTTGCATGTTATAGATTAACCATTGTTAATACCTGAAGGAAAATTGTCAACATTGCTGAGTTATTGAAGTTTAAAAATAAGCTTCTGGGCATGTGGGGTGAAAACACCCTCCGAAGCGATACTTTGTCCTGATGAGTGTGCCTAGCCGGCTGCCCGGCCACGACCCAGATCCACTCATCTGGAGGCTGCTGGGATTTGCTCCTTATAATTTCTTGGCATTTTTTTTTCAGTGTCAGGGTGCCTGGAGGAGGGTCCCATTTAGTCTAAACACTGTGATAATTCAATCTAGAATATGAGTCTTTCACTCCAAGGATCATCCCAGAGCTAGACACAGTGGCTTCTCCTAGCCCTACTCTGAAGCAAGGAGAGGTCCTTCTCAGTCTCTTTGTCTGAAGCCTTCTTCAGACCGCCTCCCACTTTAAAGCCAGACAAATGTTTCCACTGTACCCAGGAGAGGTGGTGGCAGAACCACCACACTCACCAGCTCCTCTTCCTCATGTGAGCCAGGAGGCATAGAGATGGGCTAGGGCTGAGTTGGATCATCATAGTGCCAGTGGCAGGTGTCCCTGCAGAGCTTTGTACCCTGGGGCACTTCTTCCACTCTTAGTCTTTTGTTTTTGAGCAGAGTCTCACTCTGTCACCCAGGCTGGAGTGCAGTGGCACAATCTCAGCTCACTGCAACCTCCACCTCCCAGGTTCAAGAGAGTCACCTGCCTCAGCCTCCCAAGTAGCTGGGATTACAGGCTCCTACCACCGTGCCTGAATAATTTTTTTTTTTTTTTTTTGTATTTTTAGTAGAGATGGGGTTTCACTATGTTGGTCAGGCTGGTCTGCCCGCCTTGACCTCCCAAAGTTCTGAGGTGTGAGCCACGGCCCCTGGCCTCCACTCTCAGTTAACATTAAACACGTTGCAAGGCAAATTCATATTGCCCAAGGGTGTTGTTTTTCAAATGGAAGTTCATATCAGCTAATTCTATTTGTTAAAATGAGGTTTTCTGGGCCATATCATGGACCTACTGAATTAGAATCACTAGCGTGGAATCTTGGAATCTGTACTTTGCCAAAACATCCCACAGAGCCTGTGTTCACTAAAATCTGAGACACTGAGATAGTCTTCCCAACCATTCTGTTTTTCCTGACATCCCCACAAATCTCCAGACTCTTGGAAATGAGAGATTATGAGATGGGTGCAGGTGCCCGTATCTGAGAGCAAGTGACAAAGGAACGCACCTTGCCATCCCATTCCTTTGCATGGGGCAGCAGAGGAAGTCTGTCATTTTCTCCCTCCAGCCTCAGACTTCTCACTCCAACTTCATGGATGTGTGAAATAAGAATATAATATTTGGCTGAGCATGGTAGCTCATGCCTGTAATCCCAGCACTTTGGGAGGCCGAGGCGGGTGGATCACCTAAGGTCAGGAGTTCGAGACCAGCCTGGCCAACATGCAGAACCCCCCCCCCCCCCCGCCCAGCCCTACTAAAAATACAAACATTGACTGGGCATGGTGGTGCATGCCTATAATTCCAGCTACTTGGGAGGCTGAGGCAGGAGAATCACTAGAACCCAGGAGGCAGAGGTTGTGGTGAGCTGAGATTGTGCCATTGCACTTCAGCCTGGGCAGCAAGTGCAAAACTCCGTCTCTAAAAAAGAAAAAAAGAATAGAATAGTAACACTTCAGTCCAATCTCTCTTGAGACTGGAGAACTGGTTTCTGAAAGTGGAAAGTCAGATCCATTATGGTGCTAGCATAATTGGTTGGTTCAAATAACCTTAATTGTAAAGCACCTTTCCAGACTAACTTATTTCCTAGTTGCTAATATGCTGGTTCAGTAGCTCATCACAAAGAGATCCATGAAAAATCAGTGGTTTGGTTTGAACCCATAGGACTACCTGAATCACTGTTCACAGTGAGTTTATTTTAGGATGAAATTGGTTCAAAGCATAATGTAGGCTGATTAAAAATCAAAAAAGAAATTGGCAATGATTAACCAGACTTAGTTCAACAATTGCACAGGCCAGATCATTGAAGGGACGTGCAAGACTCCACAGGGTACACTCATGCAAAGCCTCACTAAGCTAAAGCAGATGGTGCGGCAGGAGAAAGCAAGCACAGGCCAGCCTCAGAGAGGGCCGAGGCCTCCAGGCACAGCCATGCCTCAGGGGCCTTAGTCACACAAGATGTACTTCTGTGGAATAGGAATCACCAAAACATACGCAAGGTATCTTGGTTTCAGGAGAACCAGCACACAAGTTTACCAAGCAGTCTTGTATACCCTGCTAGTCACACAACTGAAACAACACTACACAAATTGTTAAATCAGGCTGGGTGCAGTGTCTCACACTTATAATTACAGTGCTTTGGGAGGCTGAGAAGGAAAGATTGCTTGAGGCCAGGAGTTTGAGACCAGCCTGGGCAACATAGTGAGCCCTCATCTCTACAAAAAATAAAAATAAAAATAAGTTAGACAGGCATAGTGACGCTTGCCTGCAGTCCTACTGGGAGGATCCCTTGAGCCAGGATTTTGAGGTTACAGGAAGCTATGATTACACCACTGTGCTCCAGATTACACACTGTACAACAGAGTTTCAAAAAAAAAAAAAAAGAAGTTAAACCAGTGCATGCCATCAATCTACACACTCCTAACCAAACTCCACAAGGTAGTCCAGGGGAGTTTTGGACTTTAAGCAGCATATTATAAATCACCAGCTTATTTTTTTTTCTTTTTTTTTTGAGATGGAGCCTCACTCTGTCTCCCAGGCTGGAGTGCACTGGCATGATCTTGGCTTACTGCAACCTCCTTTTCCTGGGTTCAAGCGATTCTTGTGCCTCAGCCTCCTAAGTAACTGGGATTACAGATGCGCTCCACCATACCCTGTTACTTTTTGTATTTTTAGTAGAGACAGTGTTTTCACCATGTTGTCCAGGTGCAGTGGCTCACACCTATAATCTTGAACACCTGACCTCAAGTGACTTGCCCGCCTCAGCCCCCGCAAAGTGCTGGGATTACAGGTGTGAGCCCCCACACCCAGGGATCACTAGCTTATTTCATCCTTATCTTGGTCAAGGGTCAGTACCAGACTTTGAGTATCTTGGAAATAAGCATGGAGCTACCCCAGTCCAGCTTCAAGGTGACCCTTCCTTCTACACACAGGGTCAGCAGAGGACATTTATGTAAGAATTTGAGCTCTTGGTTCTGTTGCCTCATATTTCCAGGTTTCTGGAGGTTGGTGAAAGCTTTATTCCCACATATTGATTCTTTTGTTTTGCTTGTTAGATAATGTTTTCACCATGTAATGAAATTTCCAAATTGGGAATACCTCATGGTATAAGATAGCTTTCTCTAGAACATCTTTATTCCCTCTCTTTGCTTTCTTAATTTTGCAAAAGACAGGAAACATTTAGATTTCAGTGGAGTCAAAGTCTCCCTCCTCATTCATCGATTTGAATAATTTCTTATTTTGTAGTTCTGTTGAAAAATTTTAAAAATCAGGGAAAATTAATAGAGAGAACTTTTTAAAACACATATCTTGTTGCATGAAGAAATAATTAAGCCTGTGTTGATTTTTTTAGTTTAAAAATAATTTAAGAAAAAATTTAGTCATAACATGTTTAGTGAAAACACTCATGAAAGTTCTATTTACTTGAGTTAGAGAACCATGTAGCATATCATTTGTTTTTGCAAAATTCATGCTGTGCTTTTATAATTTAACAAGGCAATAAAACATAAATGCTTTTCTTTCTCTAGATTCATTTAAAACCAGTCACACTTCTAACTGAACAAGATCATGTGGAACATAATCTGGCTGCTGAGAGAAGGAAAGTTCGATTACAACATGAAGATACCTTTAACAATTTAATGAAGGAAAGTAGCAAGTTTGATGGTCAGTAAATCCACTTATAAGAACTTTAATTCTATGACTGTGACAGGCAAAGGAGCCTTTTCTTAGAGCACACTTATTTTCACCTTATTATTACCATTCAATCCTGATGACACTAGGTATCTTTTCCAACAAACCTGGTGACTAGAGAAGGAAGGGCCTGGCCATTGAGAATGTAACTGCTGACACCTAACGCCTCTTTAAATTGGAAGATCTCCAGGAGAGGAGATGGGGAAAAAGAGTGACAGGGACCAGGCAGTCATTAGTAAGCATGTGTTCGCTAATGATGGCTGAATGAAGGGTTGATGAGAATGCCGTACTTTGACACGGTGCTTCGTGGCTCACTAAGCAGTTTCTCATCCACAGTTTCATAGGAGCTGCATGTAATCTCAACAGAGCAGGAAGCTGCAACTCTGAGCAGGAAAGAAACTTGCTAAAGATCATATGGGATATGAGCAGAGGCTGTAAGATCCTGCTCCTGTTGCCTGGTGCTTTCCACAATCACCCTGTGTTTTATGAGCCACACTTCCTTCGTTCTCTGGCAGTGATTTCCTGGGCTCTTTGATGCCTCCTGGAGCCAGACTGGTGGGGAAAGGCAGAGCACCGCCCCTGCCCGTCCTCTGCCCTTTCTTTTTGTCTGACCCCATCTTCTGAAGCCCCAGGGGATGCCAGTGGAGAGCACAATGAGGGAGGGAAGGAAGTGGAGTGAGCCTGCCCAGGCCCCACAGGCTGACTGCTGCCAGGAGAGCAGAAGGTTCAGCACCCCTTGGCTCCAAAGGAAGGCACAGGAAGAAGAGGAAGGAAAGCAGAGGACAAGAACATGTCAGAATAAGGATGTCAAAAGAGAAGGAGAAAGAGTGCATAGAAATGCCAGAGGAAAAAGAGAGGTAGCAGCCAGTGTAGCAGAAGTGCAGGGCCTTTATTCTGCCCCAGGTGATATCCTGGGAGCACCCCACAGAAGACTTCGGGTTAGAAAAGAGATTTTTCAAAGGTTTCTACTCATTGCTGACCTTTCAAAGGGCAATACCCATTACCAACTTTGTTTGTTTTTTTTTGATTTTTCTTTGAGACAGAGTTTCGCTCTTGTTGCCCAGGCTGGAGTGCAATGGTGCGAACTTGGCTTACTACAACTTCTGCCTCCCAGTTTCAAGCAATTTTCCTGCCTCAACATCCCTAGTAGCTGGGATTACAGGTGTCTGCCACCATGCCCAGCTAATTTTGTATTTTTAGTAGAGACAGGGTTTCGCCACGTTGACCAGCCTGGTCTTGAACTCCTGACCTCAGGTGATCCGCCCGCCTCAGCCTCCCAAAGTGCTGGGATTATAGACATGAGCCACTGTGTCCAGCCTAGATCAAATTATTTTTAAGGAAATGAAGACTTCATCATTAAATGACGGTGTTAAGAGGAGCAAGTCTCTGTTTGTAAAGCTGGTCTCAGCACCAAAATACATTTCAAATGCATTTTGCTCAAGTAATGAAATAGCTGAACCGAGAGAACAACCCTGAGGCAGATGAGACAACCATTAATAAAAACCAAAACCTGCTGTCTCCTCATCCTTAAAGTCCCAAGGAAGAATGAAATGACAGATAAAATACTTACTAATGAGCAAACCCGTACTATGCATGACAAGTAAATCTCTTAGGACATCTTAGGAAAACTCAAGCATTTTACACAGTTTTTAATAAGTATATGCAGTTTCCCTAGTTTCACTGGTCTTCCTTTCCACAGTTATGTCTTTTAAGAAAAGCTTTCTGTCCTCGTTGAAATTACACTACCTGAGTTCATAAGGAGAAAGTAGAAATAAGTCACTAAACAACCAGAAGTCTGACTGACAATGTCAAAATACAGTTCTTCTTTTTTTTCTTTTTTCTTTTCTTTTTTTTTTTTTTTTTTGAGATGGGGTCTCACTCTGTCACCCAGGCTGGAGTGCAGTGGCACAATCTCGGCTCACTGCAACCTCTGCCTTCCAGGTTCACACGATTCTCCTGCCTCAGCCTCCAGAGTAGCTGGGACTACAGGCATGCACCACCACGCCCAGCTAATTTTTGTGTTTTTAGTAGAGATGAGTTTTCACCACACTGGCCAGGCTGGTCTTGAGCTCCTGACCTCAGGTGATCCACCCGCCTTGGCTTCCCAAAGTGCTGGGATTACAGGTGTGAGTCACCGCACCCGGCAAGAAACAGTTCTTTTGAAATCTGTGCATGTTTATCCAGAGATTCTTACAAGAACTGCTTCCATCCTCTCCAAGTCATCCCTCATCTGAATCACATGTCTCAAGGTCATTCTCCACCCTTTTACCAGGAACTCTCTAGATCAAGCTGTTGCCCACCAGGAAGAGGGTGATCCTGTGATGCGTGAGGTGCTGGCCAGTCTGCCCCGGTGCCTGCTGGATGGAGTGTGTGTGTGTGCTTGTGGATAAAATCACTCATAGTCATTTAGGTGGAAGGACTCCTTCCCTCTCAGCAGAAAGGAAAGACCACCAACTGACTGGTAGTTCTTCCCAACAATTCTGTATGAAATGCCTGTCATGTGCCAGGAACCTGTTTGCCACTAGAGGTATAAAGATGAAAAATGCAGGGTCTTTGCTCCTGAGAAACTTGTAGTTTAGTGCTGGAGACAGACATATTTAATAGTTTCTAAGTAATATGGTAAGTGAACAGAGAGCTGTAGACTCTAAGTAACGTGGGAGCCCAGAGGAAGTGCCCTTGGGGCTTCACAAGAGACTTGCTGGACGAGGGGCTATGAGAAGAAAGTTGGGAAGGCGAGGAAGCACGTAGCAGTGAGGGTGAAGACGCGGAGGTATGAACCAGGACGCTGTGTGCTGAGAAGCCACCAACACAAGAGTATTGCTAGAGAGAAAATGCAAGGTAGAGGGAGGCAGGAGAGGAAGAAGGTCGGATTGTGTCACGGAGGCTCCCTGGGCCATGCTGAGAAGCTTGTCCTTTCTTCTGTTCTTGATGGGAGCCATTGAAAGATTTTGAGCAGGGTTGGGGCATGACCGGGTTTGCACTTAATATGGTCACTCTGGCTAGAGGGAGAGAGACCAGGGGAGAGATGAGGGGTGCCTAAACCGGGCAGTAATAGCGGGGAGAGACAGGAGGGAAAGAGTTTAAAAATATACGCGAGGTCACACCAACAAAATAGGGTCACTGATTGGCTGTGGGGAGAAGAGCGAGGAAGAAGTAGCATAGGCTGACTCCTGGGTGTCTGCTTGGAGCAGTTGGTTAGCAGTTGTGCCCTGAACTGAGATCATGGATCTGAGGGGCAGGGAAGGGCAACTTTTAGGAGGTAGATGATGAGTTCAGTTTTAGGCATATGGAGTCTGATGTGCCTGTGGACATCCAAAAGGAAGAGACCACAGCTGGGGAGACCCCATCTGAGAGACAGCCGCTTAAAGAAGTAGTTAGAATGAAGACAACCTGCAGCGCACAGGGTGCTGGGCCAAGAATGGAACCTGCGGAGCACAGGCATCTAAGAGAGGATCCAGGAAGACAAACCTACCAAGGAGACCTGGAGGATTAATCAGAGGGCTGCAGGGAGAGCTGGAGAGAGCGGTGTCACATGCCAAGGAAGTAGAGTTACAAGAAGAAATAGTGGTCAACTGCGTTCCAGGAGGTGAGGAATAAAACCTGTCTGCTAGACTGGGAATCAGGAAGGCATTGGTGACGTCGGCAAGTGTGGAGTTAGAAGAAGTGTGGGAGACATTTGGATATCCTTAATTATTTAGAGGAATAATGGGATGAGGGACAGTTTACCATAACCTTTATGTCATATGCACAGGCCCAAGTAAACACTTCTATCACCAGGCTTGTTAGAAGCACGTGTACAAGGATGCGGGGGGTGGGGAGGGAAGTAGAGCTGTGAGTCTCCTGGCCCCGACAGCCCGAGTGTCATCTGTTGCAGGACATGTGGACAGTGAGGGACACAGTGGCCATCGCAGCTCTTAGAGCCGCTTGGCTAGTTCAGAGCCTTTGCTTTTGTGGGAAACTGATGCATTGTGTCCCACAGCAGCACTAGCATGTGGCAGGACCTCACTTCCCTCAAGGTGTTTTCCTTCACTCTAGCCGTCTGAGGTGGAGCTTGCTCCTCTCTGACCTCTGGACCCAGCCCCACAGGAAGCAGGAGGCTTCCATCGGCCCACTCACCCCAAACCATCCACCCTGGAGAGAGCCGCCTCCTTCCACCGGACTTACTCCTAAAGGCGAATTGCTAGGATCTGGGCCTATGCATTGCCTCATCTTTCTCTCATAGTCAGTGGTTGCCCCAGCACAAAGCTGCTCTTTTTATTTTCTTATCCAGTACTTTTCTTATCCAGGTCTGTAAGCAAGTCCTCTGACTTTGCAGAACCATCCTTCTGCTCTCTGTCTTCATGAGTTCAATCATTTTGATTTTTAGATTCCACAAATAGGTGAGAACATGCGATGTTCGTCTTTCTGTGCCTTACTTCTTTTGCTTGACATAATGACCTCAGTTCCATCCATGTTGTTGCAAATGACAGGATCTCCTTCTGTGTTATGCTGAATAGTACTGTAACAGGTCTATAACCAAAACCTCTGACTTTGCTTTTCTCAGCTTGCTGAGGCGATGTAAATAATAAACAAAACGAGAACTGTAAATGGGAATAATAAAGTTACTTACATAATGGGTTTATGGTAGCATTAAATGAGTTAATATAGAAAGTGTCAGGCATGCAGAAAGTGCTGTCATTTGTATTATTGTTTAAGAGGTCCCCACCACAGGAGGAATTAGAGCCAACAGTTAAAGACAGATACTTCACAGGAACTTTGCTGTGAAGGATGAAAGAAATAGCCTAGAGCTACAGGAGACCCTCAAAGTCAAGGGGCATTGTTTTTCAGGCTAGTAGAAATTTGGTCATGGTTCCAGGCTGATCAAGATGACTGATGAGGCCTGGCGGTGGCTCATGCCTATAATCTCAGCACTTTGGGAGGCCGAGGTAGGCAGATCACTTGAGATCAGGAGTTTGAGACCGTGGTGAAACCCT